GGGATGCCATCACCCAGGTCCTTCCCTCTGCCCATCCCTGGCTGGGATCTGTGCCCAGACAAAGCTCCCCACCAGACCCTGGGATGTCCCCAAGGGACCCTGGCCCCAGGGGCTCCTTCCCCAGACATACAGAAGGTGAAATATGAGTTTCATCCCTCCAGACATTTTAATGACTTTGCTTGGGAACCAAAGAAAAGAAGAGAGACAGAAAGATCAAGGACCAGTTGCTTAGTAACGAAAGGAGAGAGGTGCAGGGGATGGGAGAAAGGAATTTTTATCTTTTTATCTCTCTTTTTTTTTTTTTTCTTTTTTTTTATGAGACTCTTTCTCCTCTTTCAGAAGACCATTAATCCCCCACTCCAGCACCTCTGGTGCCACATTCCACAGAGATGCTCCCCTGTGCAAGGACTGGGTTCATCCCTGTCCCCAGGGCTGTGGGAAGATCCATCTAACAGACACCCTCTATATTCCCAGGACATCACCAGCAAAGAACAGAGGTGATAGAAAGTAGTGGATGGAAGAATGGAGAGTGGTCTCTGAGTGACAGACATATATGACTTCCACCACCACCTAAATTTTGTTGTTCTATGACACCACCAGCAAAACCGGGAACCAGGTGGCTCCAGGCAGGATTTACCAAGCTAATATTGACACATCCTGCCAGACCCTTTCTGTTCCAAACCTGCTCCTTCTCCTGCCTGAGCTCTCTCCCAGCCAGGGGAAGCCAGCTGGGAATGGAGCTGGGGGTTTAAGCTGCCCATGGCTGCTGCTGACCTTTCCTTCCCAGCATGGCAAGCGTGGAGATGAGCTGAGGGCTCGGCTTCACACCCCTGAAAATGTCAAGCCCTGGCAGCAGGACTGGGAGCTGGGAGAGCTGCTGGGAGCCCTGGCAGCAGGAGGGACAGCAAAACCAGGCTGCATTTAATTAAGAGCATGCTGCATGCTGTTAACCATTTACTGCCCCCCAGAAGGGAGTCAGTTCCACCCCTGCCCACACAACAAGGGCAGGAGGATGCTCTGGGGACCTTCTCAATACAGGGAATGCTGCCAGTACCCCTAAAAGCTGCTTGTTCTTGGTCACTGATTATGTTCACCACCCTCACTGCTGTAGCCTGAGGGCAGAGGTCTCATCCCTCCCTCTGGAGCCCTGGCCCTGCTTTCCCCTTTGCCCCCTCATCTCCCCTCCCAGCCCTCACCCAGTGATCTCTAACCCAGAGAAGAGGGGAAATGAAAGTCCCTGCTCTGAGTTTCCATGGGAACACAAGTGCTGCTGGTCCTCCCAGCCCTGCAGATGCTGATTGCAGAGCAGAGCATCCCAGCAATGCCAAGGATGAGAGAAAACTATCCCTATCCCTCCCAAAGATCAGCTGAAAAATCTGCCCAAATTCCACCTGCTTCAGGTAGGGGACAAAACCCTGTTCAGCAGATGTATCATCATCACACAGGTACACATCTCATCCCAATGCTGTGTAAGGCAATGGATCCAGCTGGGAATCTGCTTTGGCACTGAATTCCTTTTCCCTGCCAGGCACAAAAGTGCCACAGCCATGGGCAGCTTTGAATCCTAAATTGTAGGGAGGTAAGAAGGACCAGAGGAGCAGCATAGGCTGCTAAGGGAAGGGGAGCAGGGAAAAGCAGGTTCCCATGGGGAGGGACTGCTATGGGATATCAGGATGGGATATCAGGGATATCAGGGTGGCACTCTGCTTCCTGCTCAGCTCATTTCCCCAGTGTTTGGGATGTGCTGCAGAGCTGAATCTATTATCTATATCAATATTTTAGGGCTAGTGTGAGTCAGGCCCTTTCCTTCAGGCTCTTATCCACCTGATATTTTCCTCCTCCTCCTTGCTGGCTTCCACCTACAGGCAAAGCCTCCCAGGGGATCACCTACCTGGAAATCCACCTGCCAGGGCTCGGGGCTGAGCTGCTGCAGGTCCTGCAGGTGGGTTTTCCTCAGGGGGTTCCTCACCAGGGCAGTGCCAGGGTCGCTGGCTGTGGGCACCTTCCTGCGGGGCTCGTGCTCGGAGATGTGGGTGGTGCTGTACGCCCGTCTCCTGGACAGAGCCTTCACATCCATTCCTGAACGGTGGGAGAGAGGAATCAGCTCCATTCCACCCTGGGAGCAGCCAGCAGTGGGAGGCAGGGAGCCCTCACCAAGGTCCTGCCAAAGCTCATGGGGGCACACTCAGCCCTGCAAAGTTTTAGGCAAAGCAACGAAACCACAGAAGGAAATAGAAACGCAAAATTCCTGGGGATGTCAAAAGAGCAGGTTGGGAAGGTTTTGTCTGAGGAGTTTTCAGCCAAAAAAAGCCTGACTGCATTTCCCCAAACCTCCCTGGAGAAGACAAAGGGTTTACTAATGAAATTTAATTAGTGCAGACACGCTCCTGTCAGAGCAAGACTGAAATTTGCCTTGGAAAGACACGATTTCTCATTGCTTTTGACAAGTTTGAGGGGATGCACAGTACAGATCCTCTTGGAACAAAAGGGAAGAACATCCCATGAGTAACAGAGGTTTCCCCAGCTCCGGGTGCAACCAGCTGCTTTATGCCACATGCTGCTGAGACAAACACCCAGGCAGGCTGTGGTGGGGAGGAGTGACACCCTGGGGAGAGGGCTTTGGATCCATTCTCCCCCTCTCCTGACTGGGAAGCTGCTTTGCAGGTACAGGGATGGTCTAGCAGAGCTACCCATTTGATCACTCCACTCCTCCTCACACTGCTTGGGAAGCTTGTAAATAATTATGTGGCCAAAGCTAGAGATGCTTTGAAAATCTCCAGGGAACCCAGCTCACCAGGGCTTCCCTTGATTTCCTGACAGGTTTGGATAAAACATCCAAACCAAACAGACTTGCTCAAGCCTCAGGAGATCTGTCATCTCTCCTGCAAACTCCTCCAGCTCTTTGCAGCTGAAGACATGTGTAAATCAGGCAAAAAAAAAAAAAAATGGGGGAGCAGTGACAGGAGCTTGATTAGAGAGACAGGGCATCATGTAGAGAGAGAAATCTGACCTGTGTCCGTGTCTGACTCTCCCCCGGGGTCTCTGCCCACGCCCAGGTGCTCGGGGGAGCGCTCAGTGGGGCAGGACTCCTCCGAGTCTCTGGAGTGGTTCCAGCTCTCCAAGCCTGCTCCCTCCTCCTGGGAGTGGAAGAAAACAGAGCTGCCCGACTCCTGGGAATGCATCGTGCTGTACTGCCGCCTCTTGTCCTGGGGGGAAGCACAGAGAGGGAACAGCTCCCACCACAGTCTCTGTCCACCTGAGCTGAGACCAGCACCCTCAGCCACTACAGCCCCCCAAAGTCCCACCCATCACCTCCCTTAAGGACACAGCTGGGAAGCAGGGGACACCCCCTGACCATGCACAGAGCCAAGAGTGCTGTGTACACCCCAACACCCCCGCTCCTGGGACAGACTCACAGCTCTGGGGTTGGACAGGTACAGGGAGGTGTCACAGACGACACTGTAGCTGACCAGGCGGTCACCAGGGAACAGGCAGCTGCTGCTGACAGGGGACACCAGGACCTCGGTGCTCTCAGGAAAGACCCACTCCACGGACACATCGCTCAGGACTGGAGCCATCGCCTTCTTCAGTGACCTGATCATCTGCAAAGGGCAGGGGAGAGCTTCAACACCAGCTGGACACAGTGGGAGCCATGGTGCACGTGCCATGTGCTGCAGGGAAGGGGAACAATTCCCTCTAACAGTCCCATCAGCTGATTCCTACCCTCTCCTGACATTCTGCTTCCTCTTAGTCTACTCTGATGTCCATCCCAGCACCCCCATCTCCCTGGCACAGTTATACTTGACAGAGCTGGGTAATGGTTGGTTTTTTCCAATCTAAATGGCTCCATGATTCCATGATTTTTACCATGAGCAGATAGTGATGGAGCACAGGGCTGATCTCACACACACTGCCAGCCCAGAGCAAGGTGGGTGCATATGGCCTGAGGGATCTTTCTCTGATGTGAGGCAGCATCCCTTGCTCCCCTCTAGCACCAGGATATGCTGTCAGCCTTCACTGGTCTGAGCCCCAGCCCCAGCCCTTGTCCTGAGCCCAGCACTCATACACTGATAATTTTGGAACAGCTCATTGCTGGCACAAGCCACTGCCAGAGATCAGCAATGCTCTGCCAGTTACACATGTGGAGAAGACCAATATTCGTGAATACCTCATGGGCAAATCTCCCATGGAGCCATCTACATGAGCTTCCCTGCATGCCAAGGGAACTGAACACCAGATTTAGAGACAGAACAGCTCAAATATTCCCCATTGTTCCCTGCTTTTTCACAGGCTCGGGAAGACACACCAGGCTGTGTTTTATAAGGCCATTAATTGACGCCTCAGACTGCTGAAGGCACCGAGCTGCACAGCCTGCAAAGCTCTTATTAATAGTTCTTATTAAACACCTCTCTCTTCACTGTCTCTGCTTTTAATTTACATCAGAAATGTTGATGCCATTCTGTCTTAGAGAGGTTTTTGTGTGCTCCAGGCTCCTGCAGAGGGTGGAGTTGCTGAACTCCTTCTTGAGAGATCAAGAAGGTAGAAGCTGGCTTTTTGGAGATATTTAGGAGCTAAAGACCCAATTCTCTCTGGGTTTAGTCAAGCAGCAGGTGACAGGCTGGGCTCTGCATTCACCAGGGGACAGAGCCATCCCTATGCCAGACTTCAAGCACACGGTTTTACTCTTCACGGGGAGAGAGGGAATGGAGAGGCTTTAAAGCCAGCTTAACAAGCAACGCCATCACAGCGCATTCCTCTCGCTCCAACCCCGAGTCCTTCTCGCCTGAGCAACGCCAGGGCTGAGCCCGACTTCAAAACTAATTGGCTGCTTTGATGCCGGTCCCACTGCCCTCGCCGCTGCCTTTGAAGGCAGAGCTGCAGCACCGCGGTCCCCAGCCCCCGGCGGAGGCAAACGCACCCTCCGCTCCCTCCGAGGGCCGCCGGACACCGAGGTGCGCTCTCATCCCCTCCCGCTGGCCCACCTGCTGCGGGGGGATTGGGCAGGCAGGGCCAGGATGGGGAATGAGCCCCCCGGGAGCCGTGGCCTCCCCCTCGCCGAGGCAGAGCATCCTCCGAGCCCCGGGAGCGGGGCTGTACCTTGGGCTGCAGCCTCTCGCCCTCCTCCAGGAACTCGGAGACGCCCCTGGACACGGCAGCCAGACCCCGCACCAGCCTCCTGCAGGCGTTTGGCCCGAGGCCGAAGCTGTAGCACCTGCAAAGGGACAGGGAGAATCAGGATCCAAAGGAAAAGCCATCCACCAGCCCCGTGTACTCACACACTCCCTCAGGCAGAAACTCCCTCTGGCTTCATGCCGCTGCTGTGTCCAGCAGAATAAACCAGCCCCTCTTTTAGGCATGTGGCAGGAAGGTTGAGAACCTGCCGGTGCCTAAAGGGACTCCAAGAGAGCTGGAGAAGCACTTTGGAAATGGTCATGGAGTGACAGGACAGGACAAGGGGGAATTGCTTTAAGCCAAAAAAGGGCAGGGTTAGAGTGGATATTGGGAAGAAATTCTTCCCTGTGAGGGTGGTGCTGGCACAGGGTGCCCAGAGAAGGTGTGGCTACCCCTGGATCCCTGGAAGTGTCCCAGGCCAGGCTGGAGGGGGTTTGGAGCACTCTGGCCCATGGCAGGGGGGCAGAATGAGATGAGCTTTAAGGTCCCTTCCAATCCAAACCATTCTGGGGTTCTGTGAACCACCAGCCCCCTCCTCTCAGCAGACCCCAAACCCCTTCCCCAAAAAGCAGCCTTCAGCAGTGACACTCAGGGGTTCCCAGCAGGACCTCCAGCCTTCCCCTCCTCTGCAAACACAAACAAGCTGCTTTGCTCTCAGTTCAGCTCCTTTCCCTGCTGGCTGTGGTCAATAGCACTAAAGATCCAGTAATTATCTCTGCTTGCAATGAAAATAAACATTTTCTCAAGGAAGGATGATCAAACCAGGTGAGGCTGCTCCCCCCCACTGCCAGGTCTGTGAATCAGGATTTGAATTGGGCTGAAGGCTGGGAGCTGAGCTGGAGCCCTGGCAGGCAGAGAGGGTAGTGCTGGGTGGGATGGATGTGCCAGGAAGCCAGGAGGATGGGAATGGGTGGGATGTGGCATTTGGGCAGGGCAGGGGATTGCTGAGAAAGAAAGCACCTTCAGCAGCAAACTGCATCTGCACAAGGGGCTTTTCTCTTGGAGGGTTTTAATCCTCAGCTGCCTGCAAATCCTAGGCTAGCCTCACACCCCTCCTAAATAAGGCTCTGATCTTCTTTTAAGATGGTCCATGCCCAGCACTCTCTGTTCCAGGGTCACTGAGACCACGCTCCAGCTCTGATTGCATTTAACCCTTCCAGTCCTGCAGGAGCCAGGGGTGGGAAACAACCAGACCTCTGTGCAGTTACAAACCCGCAGAGCAGCTTTCCTGATAACTCCAAAGTCTGAGAGATGGAAGAGGAATCAGGATTTCTTACATTTTTCTCATGTTTTGTGCTCCTTAAAGAGGCAGAGGAGAAACCAGAACAGCCTGTGATCAGGGCTGGGGAGCCAGGCTGGGAGCTTGTGCACAATTAGCTGCTTTTTACATTGCTGCCTTTCAGCATATTCAATTCTGCACAGCCCCATCCTGGAAGCAGCTGGGGCCAGCCCCAGATGTGCTTTAAAAAAAATATTAAAAAAAAAGCGAGGAAGATTGTTGGCGTGTCAATCTCTCCTAGCAGGAAGCGTCAGCCGAGAGCTGTGAAGTTGTCAGCTCAATTATCCTGCTTTTGATTGTTTAAAAAGCATCTGAACTTCTGGGATTCGTTCCAAACCCTTTGAGGTTCTCCCATGGCTCATAGCAGCAATCTCTCCTGCCTCTGTCTCTGAAGTGGGGACGTCTGTGAGAGGGAGCTGTGCTCAGGGGAAGGCACATGGCAGCCTGTGCCAGCTCCTGGCCCTGCAGGGCTCAGTCTGTACCTGGTGGAGCAGGAGTGGTCCCGCAGCAGCTCCAGAACCTTCCCCGTGCTGCTGATGGCCCCGGCTGTCAGCACAAAGAGCAGCCGGGGGTGGCCCCTGTGGAGGGGCTGGCGGAGGAGCCACTTCAGGGGGGACAGGAGGTTGGTGCTGCCCATGTCAGCCCGGATCCTCCTGATGCTCTGGCAGGCGATGAGCAGGCTCTCCTGCCCAAAGGAACAGGGCAATTGTCAGCACCAGCACCCTCTGAGCACCAAGGAGAGCCAGGGGAGAGGCTGAGGGAGTTGAGGATGCTCATCCTGGTGAAGGGAAGGTTTTGGAGAGACCTTAAAGCCCCTTCCAGTGCATAAGGGGGCTCCAAGAGAGCAGGGGAAACACTTTGGACAAGGGCCTGGAGTGACAGGACAAGGGGGAATAGCTTTAAGCTGAAGAAGGGCAGGGTTCGATTTGGTATTATAAGGAAATTTTTTACTTTAAAGGTGGTGAGGGCCTGGCACAAGTTGCCCAGAGAAGCTGTGGCTGCCCCTGGATCCTTGGAAATATCCAAGGCCAGGCTGGATAGGGCTGGGAGCACCCAGGTATAGTGGAAGGTGTCCCTGCCCATGGCATGTAAGGTCCCTCCCCACACAAACCAGTCAGTGATTCTGTGAACTGTGGGTTCACCCACCTCACAGTAGGCCTGGCTGACAGGAAAGAGGGTCTTGAAGGTGGATCCAAACCCGATGATATTGAAGAGACATGCTGGCATCAGGCTCTTGAGAATGACCAACAGGGCATCCTGAGGGGTAAAAAGCAAACAGACATCAGGACACTTGGATCCTCCCTGGCTGCCCCAACTTCACCAGGAAAAGCTCTGCCCAGAGCATCCCATCTGATTCCCACTTTCACCTGACAACAAACCAACTGCTTCTTTCCCATGCCTCCATATGACCCAGCTCTTTTCAAAGTCCCTTGATGATATTTGGGACATGAAGCAGTGAGGAAAATGGGGAGTCTTTGGGAAAAAGGACAACAAAGAACTGAACAATTTTTTCTGTTTGTTTTTAAGGGATTCAATTTGTGCTGGCAACACAGTGCTGCAGCACAGAGCTGGTGGGTGAGAAGCAGAGTGTGAAATTGAGAAGTGCGACACGCAATGCATCTCAATGCCTAAACTTGCAGAAAATAAACAAACAGCTTAAAGTTACACAAAAGGAAAAGCCTCCCCCATCCCCAATTCTCTTGTATTCATAGCTGGCTTCAATTAAAATAACTGGGAGACAACAGATTTAAGCTATTTTCTTTACCAGAGGTGGTTATCTAATGTGTCTATTCCTGGGCTTTACATAAGGCAAGAGCAACTTGAATTGTCACAGTGGTATTGTGGACAAGTCCAGGACAGAGCTTGTGATCACAGGAACTGGGCAAGAGCTGCTTAAGGAGCTCTTGAACTTGTAGGAGCAATTATGTGGCAGGAGAGGAGACCCATTTAAAGCAAAGTGTTTATTTAAAGCAAAATGTAAAGCAAAGTGCTCAGGAGCAGCTCAGTTCTATTTAAATGCTGATCAAGGCAGACTCCTGCCAGTCTGCCAGGGCAGCAGAAACCCTCTAGGCAGCCCCTGGAGGAGCTGCCAAGGTCAAACGAGCAAGAATTGCCTCCTTGAGATGTCCTACCAGTGGCAAAGACCAAGTGACCACAGAGGGACACAGTGAACTCCCTGCCTGGGTCCAGCAGGGATCCCAAAAGCTCCTCCTTACAGGCTCCCAAAGCCTGTAAGACTCAGCAAAAAACTCAGAGCTGGAGCACTGAAAATCAGTGGAATAATGTACAAGAGCAGGGCTGCCCTTTAACAGGCTCTGGAGTACTTGAATGCAAGCTGTTATCTCAAACCTACGAGGATATATTTATACCACTGCTCCCAGATGGCTCCCGGGATGCTGGCTCTTCCAGATCTCAGTGCTGACATCCCATCTTGGAACTCATTACAAGGGAAAAAATACAAATTTCCAAATATTTCTCTTAAAGCATTTCCCAAAATGGGCAACCGATGCCTGCTTGCTATTTCAGCAAGCAGAAAGATTTATTGCTTCTTATGGTAAATATTGATCTTGATCCTGTTGCACTCCATAGCTTTATGGCAACTCAATAAGGAGGAATGTTTGCTTCTAGAAAAGTCAATTCCCAGTTATTAGTGCAGTTTTGCCAGCGAGCACCATCACAGCCTGGCTCTTCTCCCTGGCTGCATCAGGGTGGGAAAGGAGCTGGCTGCAGGAAATTTAAATCCCTGAATTTTCCACTCCAGCTGCTTTGGACGGGTGCCCCCCTGCTCTGCACAGGCCCTTCCACCTCCTCCCTGAGTGCATCCTGAGGCTGCACAGCTCCAAGACCTGTCATGCCATGCATCCAGCCAGCTGAGGATGATGCAGAAGGTTCCACCAACCAAAACCCACCCAAACCCTCTCACAACAGCTCCTGCTGTAAGGTCCCTGGTGTCTGTGAGTGACAAACAAGGATGGAACACTCAAAAGAGGGACAGTGGGTTTCTCCCTTGAGGTATCTCCTCCAAAATCTCCCTCAAAATATTTTTTCCTGAAGGGGAACAGCTTTTTTCCTGTTTCTACAGCCCTCCTGAGATGGGGTTTCCATTTCAGGAGCAATCAGAGAAGGGCTCTGATCCTGCAGGTCCCCATCCCCAGGGGACAATCCAGCCTCCACAGAGGCTGCAGAGACTGTGGTGCCCAAACCCAGCCATGCTGGCAGTTGGAAAGCAAAAATCCATGCTGAGAAAAGATTCTCAGACTGCTAAAGGTGCTGGGGGAAGGGGTTACAAGCCCAGAGATATCCTGTTCCCCTTGGGAACAGCCTCCCTATCCCAGGGGATGCACTGCAGCCATCTGCAGGCTCCCCAGCATCCCAATCCTTGTTGCTGAAGGTGTCTGTCCTTCTTCAGCAGTTCCCATGGAAACTGGAGACAGATGGGAAAGGAGATGTGCTAAAAGATGGACAAGTTCAGGAGGGGGTCTGTGGGAACCTCATGAGGTTCAGCAGACCAAGTGCAGGGTCCTGCACCAGGGCTGGCTCTGGGTAAGAGCCACATCTGACAGGGGAACCTCAGACCCACAAAATATCCTGACAATGCTATTTTGTACTCAGAGCTCTCAACACAACACCCATAACTATGGGAGTTAGGCTGCTGGTGGCGATTTGTGTTTGGAAAAGGGATGTCTCATATTTAAATCATTTCTGTGTGTTCACAGAGATGTGAAAAACCTCTCCTAATGCATGGTCAGCACCTTGCTCGCCTTGGAGCTCCCTGGAGGTTTCCTCCCAGGCAGTCATCACCCAAAGCCCTTCTGGACACAGGGAGAGCTGGAAAAAGGATGCACAAAACATGCCAGCAAGAGAGGGAAAGAAAATAATTTTACATTTTACATGCTGATAGGAAGAAGCAGAAGAGAACAGGGGAGAGTCACCTTTGTTGCAGGTACCAAAGGAGCACCATGGTTGAGATGACTGAAATGCAGCCTATAATTACCCCCCATGCCCTGATAATGAACAGTTATGCTCTCAGCACCCCCACTGCTCTCTCACTCATCCCTGTTGACAGGCAGGTGCTTCCCTTCCTGCAGGTACCTTGGCACGGCTGATGCTCACAGCACTCATGCTCCTGCTGCGTTCCACCAGGAAGATGAACTCGCCCTGGGCTGTCCGGAGGCCTGGCTGCACAGTCCTCAAGTCAGGGCAGAAGTTGAGCATGATGACAGGGTGGTGGGGAATGTCCTTGTTCAGCCTCTTCCTGATGATTTCCGTCTGAAAGAAAGCAGGAGACAGCTCCAGAGGTTGATTTTGAGAGGTTGATTTCTCCACCCCATTTCAATTTGAGGGGAATCAGAGCAGGGTTCAAAATGCAGGTACATGGCCTTTTGTGGGCCAGAATCTGCTTGTTCAGAGGTGAAACACCAGGGTGGGCCAATATCCAGATGTCCTGTTCTGTCCATACCCACAGTATTCACCATCCCTGTAAGTGTCCAAGGCCAGGCTGGACAGGGCTTGGAGCAAGCTGGGATACTGAAAGTTGTCCCTGCCCACGGGATGGGACAAGATAAACTTTAAGGTCCTCTCCACCAAACCATTCAGGGATTATATGGAGAAACTGCACACTCAGATAAAAGCCTGGAGAAATAAATCAAAATACCTCGCCCTACCCAGCACCTTGCAAATCTGATTCTCCAAACATTTCATTAGATCCTTCCCGAAAACCTGGTTCATTAGCACAGCTCAGCATCCCACCGAGGCACACCAGAGGTTTTCTCCATGGTCACTCACTAATGAAGTGTGAGATGCAGCCCTTGATCTGCTGCATTCAGCACTCCAATTCATCCCTGTCGCCTCTGGTTTGCTGCTTTTTCTGCCCATTTCTTTTATCACTTTTCTTTGTAGGCATTGAAAGGCTTTGGAAAGCTGAGCCGTTTGCTCTGGCCACGGCTCGATAGGAACCCGCATGATTTCTGCACTGCACACAGCTCCAATTGCTCTCTGCATTTTCTCTCCTTCTATTTCAAGTATTCATTACAAATGGGATAAAATAAAACTGGTAAAAACCTCTTGTGATGGGTTTATAATGTGCTGTTACGTGTGTATCAAGCAATAACGGGTTCATGGCCTCAGCTGCTTTGCAGGGAGCTCCAGGACCCCACATCAGCCCAGCCATGGCCTTTCATCCCTGGGTCTGAATGGGGAAAAAACTCCTCAACAGCAGCTCGATCCTCAGGGGCTTTGTTTGCCTCTTTTCTCCTCTTTCTGGCTGCTTTTCTCTTTGGTTTCACAGGGAGCAAACCAGATCCCAGATAACTGGGCTTGTTTTCTCCAGCCATGAGTCACATTCCTCAGTTTATGAGCTGATGACCAACCTTTGTTTTCTAAAACTCACTAACTCCCTGTGGCTCAACACACACACACAAGCTCTGCTTTCAGCTCCTCTGCCTGAGCACAGCTTCTCTGACCCAGTGAAAAGACAGGTCCCACTCAGAGGAATAAGCCAAGCTCCCACTCATCCTCCTGCCTTTCCTTTCTATGCTATGGGTAGAAGGGAAATCATAAATTAATCAGCTGCTGAGAAATCAAGGGGCTTTTTCCATTTCCATTTTCCTCCAGCCACATGACATTATTTTCTTTCACAACTTTTCCAGTTTATCACATTCCAGACTAGAGTGGTTCTTGCTGCCTCTGTACAAATACTGAATCGTGGCCCTGGACCTATCCACAGAACTCCCTGGAATGCTCTTGGGTATCCATGACACAAATTTCCTGTGCAATCAAGATGAGCCCATACTTTGGGATTTCTCACTGACTGGAGGGAATTTTAGAGGCAAATCTTCAGTAAACAGCTTCAGTGGAGCTGCTACAGGTTAGCCAGAGAAGAAAACATCTCCTCACCTCCCTTCCGTTCCCCTTCACCCATTATCCAATTACAGTAAACTAATCAGATTTTGTTGAGTAAAGTTGATTCCAGTGTGCATCCATCCCCACCAACCTGCAGCTGACAGCATCCAAGCTTTTTGCATAACAAACAAAGGGAGGAGAATTACTTATCATTTACCGCTGAAATTTCTGGGCTAATTTAATTTAAGCCAAGAAGTGGCCAATGTCCTGCTCTAGGCAGCAGCAATTCCAGCCCATCATCTGCCCCAGGTATTCCAGGCATTTTCTCTGCTCCCTGCAGTTGTTTCCCAGTCCTCCTGGGGCACAGGTGGCTTTCCTGCAGGGAAATGTCTCCAGAATGATCCCCCCTTAGATAATTTGACATGCTAAATGTGCAGAAATAATTAGGGAGCCATCCGAGGCGTAGCGTGGGAGTTTCATCTCGTTCCACCTGCCACACGCTGAACACAATTAGAGGAGACGCCTGCAGAGTCCCAGCCCTGCCAGAGAGAGTGGAGGGCAAAGGGAAGGGAGGAGAGGAGGGTTGACAAGTCTTTGGTGAAAGAAGAAATCTGAGCAGCACAGGGAGACACCCCTGCAGCAGGTCAGGGATCTCTGCCAAGATAGACCCAGGATCAGACACGTGGAGAAGGAGTTTAGGGGGAAATGAGCATCCCTGGGCACACAGGAGAGCCCTGGCTGTGTAAAACAGGAGCTGACACTGTCAGCCCCAGCTGTGGCCACACAAGCAGGACCTGTCCCTTAGGAGAAGACGCCCACCCTGGAAATCCAGAGGGCTCTGAGCTGTCTGCTCCTCTCCGCTGATCCCAGGCACACCAAAGACTTGGGCTGTCACTCATTCCCTCAGAACTGCTGGAAGACGAGGCACAAATCCCAGCACAGATATTTTTCTCTTTGCTGCTCAGCAGAACAAAGAGAAGTCTCTCCTACCTTGTCTTCAGTTCAGCTCATTATTCCCAGGAAGATCACTTCTTTCTCTCTGACAGCTACCCAGAAACAGTAAACATTTACCGAGCAATTAAAAGAATATTTTATTCTATGTCATTGCAATAATTATAATACCCTTAATACTATCACAATGCACCTCTCTAATTATGCTATGCTAGACTAGCACTAATTATACACACAATAACCATCTCAGAGCTCCTTCCCCTCTCAGTTTATCAGCAGCACTGCTGAATTTCCCCCTCTTCCTCCACACAAGCCCCTCTCTGAGGGAGGATGCTGCAGGTCTCACTGGGACAGTGTAATATCTGATGCTGGAAACATGGAATCATCTTCTAGCTCAGCTCCAGTCCATGGGAAGCCTCAGCTAGCACCTGCAGCTTGTGTTTCTCACCTTTTTCTTGGCACTGGGGTCTTTCTTAGTGCCTTTAATGAAATCGTTCTTCCCCTTCAGGTGTCGCTCGTACTCTGCAGGGGTCATGTCACCCTCTTCCATTAAGACGTGGGGCATGTGGGGCTCTGTAAATGCAGAGAATTGTGTGAAGAACAGCTGTGGCTACAATTTGGGTCTGGCAGAGATGCAGGCAGCCTTGGTTGGGAAAACAGCAACTCCTGTGAGATTGGAGAGCTCAGAAAACCCTGAGAGGGGCCAGGATTACCTCCCGGGAAGCCTAACCTTGACAGTATTTGCAAAACCAGCACTAATCCAGCTGTCTCCAGAGCTACAGATGAGGATCCCAGGAAGGGGCAAGAGCAGCAGAGGGGAAGCAGAGCCCACCTACCACTTGGGTGGATCAGGATCTCCACGGGTCTGTCGAAGGTGTGTTTGTTGGCCAGTGTGATCACGATGCTCTTGGCAGAGCGAGCTGAGGGGTCGGCGTCTGCTCGGATCTCGTGTGTGGGGCTCTCAACTCCTGCAGGGAAAACGAGGCGCCAGTAGGGACTGAGGGTGGGGACACCAGGGAGAAGGGATGACAAGGCAGTAGAGGACAGGAACCCAGTTAGCATCAATCCTGTGCTGGTAAATCCACCCCAGCACAGTTAAGTTGCCAACACAGATTTACATAGAGGAGGAGGAGGAGTGTGGACATTGCCTTGGGGAGGTGATAAATCAGCCTTGTGCAGCAGGGCAGCCCCAGTGCTCCTACCTGCCAGCAAACATGGCCCCCGGATCTCCAGGTGGAAGCTGAATTCATACTCGAAGGGGTTGGTGGGCTCACTGTCCAGCAGCTGAGCCAGGCAGAACCTGCTCCCTTGCTCTGGGCTCCCCAATCCACAGGGGTGCTTGTCCCTGATGGTGAGATAAATCCAAATAAATCCTGTCAACGTGTTCTATGCCTGCAGGAACTGCAGGTCTGCCAGAGGTAAAGACTGCAGCCACTCTCCAGCATCCTGCAGCTCCTGCTTGTTCAGCCCTGCATTCCCCAGGATCAATCGCAGACAGAGCCCACCCCGTGGTTTTCCATACATTTGGAGCTGGTGGCTGGAAAAGCTGCTGGCATTCTCCAGGCTGGGCTGGGGGACCCTGGGGACACACACAGCTGGCAGAAGGACCCTCACCACCCCGCTGGGCAGTGTCTGCAGCTCAGAAGAGGTGCTGATGAAGATGGAGACACTTTCCAGGGGAGGAATCATGCCCAGGTTGGCCACAAAAACAATCCTCTCCAGGTCCTCATCCATCATAAGCCTTCCTGTACAGAGATTGGACCATGCCAGGTATTGCATCCATGGAAAATACTCCTTTCCAGGCCTCCACAACTCCCAGCCCTGGATCAAACACCCAAAGCCGCCACCAATGCACACATATCAGCTTTCTCTAAAGAGCCCCAGCTTCTGCATCACTCCTTTGGCTGCCCAGAAGCAGCAGTGCTTTCCAAGATGGGTAAGACTGACACTTTTGGCACGAGCACCACAACCCCTCATCTTCCCAAAAGGAGCCCCCTTGGTGCAGCAGCATACACCAGCCAGCCACCCCCATCACCTCCCCACTCCCCTTCCCCTCCTTTTCTCCCTAAAACACCCTCAGCCCCCTCACCACTTCCATCACCAGCTCTTCCAGGGGGGAGGCTGCAGCTGTTGAAGTAGGTGTCATCCATCTTGGCTTTGTCTTTGATCTGCACTGTCACGGTGCGCCGGGACACGGCCGCCTCGAAGCCCACCACAGTTGTGCCCTCGTCCAAGGGGTACACAAAGAGACCTGCCAGCCAGGAAGGGTGTCAGCAACACCCACCTCTTTCCTGGACCCACCAGCCAGGTCCCTCTTGGCACTTCCCAAGTGGGAAAAAAATCCCACTTGTGGGATTTTTCACACCTAAAAAGTTGTAGACTTGGACACAATACATTTGGTTGTGCTTCCCACCAGCATCTAAAGGTTGAAGGCATGCCCAGAAACCCAGCACTGCCATATCCTTGCTTTAAAGTTCCCATTCCAAGCTTCACTCCTTCAAACTTGCCTTCCACAGCCTGGGGGTCTGGGTTGTGGTAGGTGAGCAGGGCTGTCATCCCAAAGGCATAGCCACTGACGCAGGATGTCACCTCGGACGCGATGAGGGGCAGCCGGGAGAGGGTCACACGGTCAACCAGCCCTGGCATCTTCCTGGGGCTCTCTGGGTGATGTGGGGAGCTGGAGAGAAAGGTGAGAATGGCTGTGGAGCCCCGAGTGCCCAAAATGTTTGCATGGCTCTGCCACCTCATTCTGAAGCCCTGAGTGACCTGGGGCAGGATGAGACCTGGGTTTGATGACTGCAGTGATGGGGATGGGGATGAAGCAAGACCCCGATGGGAAGACAAGGCAAACCCTTGCCCCAAATCCCCATTGGCACAAGGGAGGAGGTGCAGATGAAACCTCCCTGGCTGGGGACACAGCCTTGGAGGTGCATAGTCCCCACCTCCCACACTGCTGGAGTCTGAGCAGAACAGTTAACATCTTTTTCTGTCCCTCTTTCTCCTCATTATCCTCCAAACCAACAACTTTCTCCAGGATAAGACTGTGATCATGAGAGTTTTCCTTTCTCCTGGGGAAGGAAGAGTAGGCAGGCAGAGCCATACACGCTGCTGCCCTCCCATGCCCTTGCCCATCCTCATCCTTGCTGATTACAGGGAAGTGCCATTGCTCTGCTGTCCTGCATCTCCAGATCCTTCCTGCACAGGCTGACTCATCCCTCCCTGTGCTCAGCCGACACATTCAGATGCAAAGTGACTCCTTATGCCAATTACATTCCAACTCTTTTCCCTAAGCAGGTTTTCCTCCATTACAGCTCCTCTCCCCCAGGCCTCAGGGTTTTAAAGGAGACTTTTCAGGTGGATTTTAGGGCCCCATCCTGCTCCCCCAGGGAACCAGAAGAAGTTGCTAGGCAGCAGTTCTCCCTGGCTGGATCTGCAACGCTTTATGCAGTGATTTACGAGGCCCAGGAGAAGCCAGCAGCACTGAAATACATCAGTTTCTCATTCCTGCGTTATTAAAACCCACCTTTATATGCAAATGCCACAGAAGACATCAAGGCCACGAGCTCGGTGAGTGCTCGGGCAGGAAAACGGCGCTGAGAAAGGACAAAGGGAGAGCCAGGGAGAGCAAGAAGGGCTGTCCAGGATGGGGGAGAGCAGTCAGGGAAACTGAGCACAGGAAACATCAGCAAAGATGATGATGATGGAGGGCATTAATCCCAAGGCACGCCCCTGGATCCTGGCCAAAAACCTTAAATTCCCGATTTAATCCACCCCTCCTTCCAGCACAAATGCCGCTCACGCCAGGAGCTGCCCAGAGAGATTGGGGATGCATCCATGGGGATGCAGCCCCCACAGTCAGGAGATGGATGGAGTCCCAGCTGAGCCAGGGGAGGCCATCCCAACAGGATGCTCCAAGCTGTGCCAACAGGGCCTGGGAAGGCAGGAGCTGGCAAGGGTTCATCTGCTACAGGGAGAGACAGTGAAGGTCCCCCCACTTCAGTATGTGGCAGAGGCCACCAAGGTATGGGGAAGTGATTAAATGCCAGGTGGGGGAGGAAGGAGGGAGAATTATTTTACCTTAGGGAAGAAATAATAACAGGAAGAAGCTCTCTATAACAGCTTGGCACAACAGGAATTCATTATGGGACTGCCAGAGGGGTGAATTTGGGCTCCTGGAGCGTGACTTCAGCTTGGAACTGGGGACTTAGTACAGAGCCACGGGTGAGATCCAACCTCCCCACATCTCCTGCACCCATGGAACACTGGGGACATAGCCCCCATGGGAGCCACTTGCCAGCAGGGATTTCTGCATCACCTGGGCCAGAACAAACACTAAGGGACCCTTGGTGAGATGCAGAGCCCTGTGCCATCCCCTGTTAAATCCAGTCAGGAAAGTTGCACCTCTCCTGCACCTCTGAGGTGGCTCAGAGGAGCCTGGCACCAGCTCTCACTGGTGTGCCAGCCGAAAAATTGGCCCCACAAGGACAGGGAGGGCTCAGAGGGCTCTTCCCAGCAAAAACCCTTTGACAGGGGACGCTGCCAGCAGAGCCGTGGAGCTGCTCCACACAGCTTGTGTCACCAACGCCATCAAGTGACTGCAGTAAGGAAAGGGAGAGCAGCAGAAAGGCTGGAGTGAGGGAGAGCAGTGGGAAGGCTGGAATCTCTCCCCTGTGCCACCCAGGAACTCAGCACTGGCCCCTTGCCTGCTCCCCATCCTGCCTTTGCTGCTATGGGATGTGCACCCAGTCTCCGTTCAGGCCATGGGGCCTGGGCTCTCAGAATGGAACCTGGCAGGACCCTGCATCCCAAAAAAATTACCAACAGCAGGACCCTGCAACCCAAAAAAACTACCAACAGTTAATGCTGCACAGAGTACCCCTAGACACACTCAGTCCTCAGTGTGTCCCCTCACTGCCACCAAACGTGTCACACACAGCAGGCCCAGGGCCATCCCACAGACCTGGCCAGGTGCCTCCTGACCTCACACTGCATCTGGCATCCCAGGAAAAAGGGAAACCACTGAGGGTTACTACCTTCAGCCCTGAAAATACACCTGTAATCCCATCAGCTGGGGAGCACCTCAGGGCTGGCACAGACATTGTCCCTTGGCCAGCTGTGTTCTGGACCAGGCTGCTACTGGATGGATCTTTTTGTTCCCCCTTCCTTTCCATGACAATCCACTGCTCTTCCTGACCACGGAGAGGAGAGAGTGTGTGTGATCATCCACTGCAGGCAATGCCCTCAGCCAAACCCTGTGCCCCACAGCAGCTGCTGCTGCTGTGACATCCCCGTGACACACAGGGAACACAGGGCTGTGAGCCAGAGCACGGGCTCCAGCCCCTCACAGGGCTGCAGTGTCTGTCCCAGCACTCCGGAGGGGCTGGGGCTGGATTTTATGGGATAGGAAAAGGTGTTAATGTGCCTGGAAAATGGGGGTGGGGCTTGAAGCACTGCTTGGAGCTTCCTGGGTGTCCGTCTGTGTCTCTGAGCACTGATGTGCCCTCAAAAAATCTGCCTGAGCACGGGGAGTAAAGATAGGGGCAGAGTAATGCTCGTCTGAGGTGAATTTTCATGCATTGAGAAGGAAAACAGAGCAAAACTGTTGCTCTGTCCAGCCTGGCTTCTGGCAGGACATGACTCCCAGGAGTGGGCTGGGGTCACCACGGATCTGTGGCATCCACAGCCGACAACAGGATAGGGAGAGGCAAAGCAGGAGCTGGGATAAAACCCGACACAGCTCCACCCAGCCCTGCTGCCTCGAGGGCAGAAATCAGTGGCAGCCCGGCTGCTTCTGCCCCCCAGGCCAGGCAGGCTGCCGTGTCAGGCCCAGCCCTGGTGTCACACCTTGCATCAAACGCATTTTTGAGCAGCTGAATCACTGCCCCGCCCTGCTGTAACCCCTGACCGGCCACAAGCTCGTTCCCTTGGAGATGTCGCCTCCAGGTCCCAGCTAGACGTGGGGCACATCCCCACTGCTCAGAGGACGCCTGGCTTTCTGCAGCTGGGTAAAATATTCCTTCCACGTCGTGTGTCTCAATCAACACTGACATCCAGTGGCTCGCCGGGATGACGACAGCCAGAGCGCCCTGTGGAGATGTACAGGTGGACAGAGCTGGCCAGGGATGCCTGTTGCACCACAGCCTCCCATCAGCATTCCTGGACAATCTCCACCGGGAAAAAACACCCCCACTGTTTGCAAATCCAAGACAGGAGAAGCCTTGCACTTCCCAAACTGTCAGGGCTCTCAAGTAGAATCACCTGTGGGATTTCTCCCTGGTTTTCAGGGCCTCAAGGCTCAGGGAGATGCTGAGGGACCCCTGACTTCACCTACACAATCCACATCACCGCAGGTCATGACTAAGACATGCAGGAGCTCTCCAGATGCTTTCCCCCAAAGCACAAGGCTCAAACCTGGCCAGGAAACTGGGATCAGCTCCCAAAATATCTCTAGGAAGAGGAGAAAATGGGGTTTGAAAGAGCACCCATAGCACTGTCCTATCTGGAAGAGCCTGGATCCCCCATGGCAGACCTGTGAGACACTCTCAACAAAGGCTACAGGAACTCTTCTCCCATCTCCAGCCTCCCTTGCCTCAAACTGCAAGCAGAATATCCCACTTAATGGAAAACCAGGAAAACAGCCACTGCAGGCCCCCAGAGGGTGACAGCAAGGGCCCCCACTGCCACAGCAGTGACAAGGATTGCTGGCCCCAAGGACACCCTGAGGCCTCAGATATGGAAACTGAGGAAAGGCTGGGAAGCAACTTCTCCTGCCAGGACCCAGTGGAAGCAGCCAGGTGCCCCTTCCTGAGGTGACACAGTGCCAGGTTGGGCCATGACTGACAGCCCTGGCAGAGACAGACTTTGGGGACTGTCAGCCATAACCCTGGCAAGTGTCTTGGACCACCAGTCTGGCCCCAGAGTTGGGTGTCACAGACCTGGATTCCTGTCCCAAACCCCTTCCTAGAGCTGTTAATCACATATTTCTGACACAGGGCTTAGTTAACCCCCACCTTGCCAGGCTCACAGCTGGGGGGAAGATCCCTGGGCTGAGCCAGAGGGAGGTGTTGGCCCAGACACCACCTAAACCTACCAGGCAGGCTGCTTCCTGCCTGGGGTGCATCCAGATGCAAGGAGACACACAGGGCCCCCAGGAGCAGCACAGCCCTTCTCCATCCACCCCTGTCCTGCCCTGCCCCAGCCTGTGTGGTGGATTCCAGCCAGGTGTCAGTGTTTTGATCCTTACTGAGGGGATCAGCCCCCCTCACCCTGCCAAGGTCACTCCTCCTTCCCCAAACAGTGTGTCCACAGATGGGTTATCCACTTGGCTGCCCAGGACAGCAACAGCCCATCACCCCCAGCATCATCCCCCCATCCATCCCTGTCCTCTGCCTGCACAGAGAAATGGACACAGTCACTACTAAAGTCTGTACAATTTTTGGGGAGGGATGGGATGTTCCAGGACTCAGCATCCAGCTGGGAAAAAAGCAAGGCTGGGAAGCAGCAGCTTGCAAAGTGTGGGCTTGTGCCTGCACAAATATTATGACAGGGATCTCTACAGTGAGCAGCTTTGTGCTGGGATCGTGCACAGCCTTGGGAAGTGACACACACACACCCCTCACACCCACCCCTGCGGAGCTAAAAAGGTGCAGGAGCAACTGGAGAGTAGCCGCTGCTTTTCTTACCTTTCCTGGGAGAGAGGAGGAGGAGAAGGAAGAAAGGGATGGGGGGGTTGGAGCAACTTCACCCACTCTTCCAGCCCCTCTGCGGCTGGGCTGGGGAGGGCAGGAGGGGCAGGAGGAATCCCGAAGGCGGCAGGCACGGCTGCGGAGCGCTGTGTCTGGAAGACAGGGAGAGAGGGAGATGAGGAGAGAGGGAAAGGGAGGGAGAGAGGGAGAGGAGCAAGCGCCGGGGCTCGGGGTGGGGGAGCGCTGCACCACCAGCCACCTCAGCAACCGGTGGCTGCACCCCCCGGACCCTCCCCAGCGGGCAGCGGGGCTGGGGGAAGCCGGGGAGCCCGGGGGTCCCGGGGGGGCGAGGAAGGGTCTTACCGAGCCGGCTGCAGCAACATGTGCCCCGGCGGGGAGGCTGTGCCCGGAGCCGGGAGGGGGTCTGGCTCCCCTGGGATGGGGGGCTTCTGCACCCCCAGGGTGGGGCTCTGCCCCCCGCCGCTGACTCAAAGTGTCCGGAGCTGTCTGGGTGACCATCACCATCATCATCACCCAGTGGAGCCATTTGTTTTGTCAGGGAGGTAACCATGACAATCCCCTCGAACACCCTGGCGCTTCCCCCTCCCCTCGCTCCCCTCCTGAGCCCGGGGGCTGCGGGGGAGACAACGGGCGAGGGGCGAAGCCCATCCGGGCGGAGGAGATGCCCCTGAGCTGGGCAGGCAGGTGGAGAAAAGAGGCTGAAACTCCCCTCACCCATGCCCACCATTTATCTCCCCGGGATTTTCCGCAGCAGCTGCCGGGAGGGGAAGAACCCACCGCATTCACCTTTGTCATCCCCTTTCTCTTTCAAAGGAAGGAAAGCACCCTAAAGCCCCCCAAAATCAGCTTGCATCACTGCTCACTGGCCTCCTGTGCAGCCCTAGGCTGGGTATCTCTCCCAGCCTTGCTGTTGCCCCCATTCCCATCTCAGCTCCTGCACCCTCTCCCCCCCAGGAACCCCCAAAGCCCCTCAAGCACAGCCCCCACCCATGGGGGTACAGAAGGACCCTCCCCACAGGAGCAATGCTGTGCTGAGGGATGAGCCTGGTGGGATACAGTCCCTGCCCTGAGCAACTTACACTTAAACCCAGGAAAAACTTGCAGAAAGGGGAAACTGAGGCAGCTGGAGGGACACAGACTTGGACTTTGTCCCAAAGCAGAGCTGGACACCGAGCCTGGGTCACAGCACAACGAGGGTAAAGCTCCTCTTTCTCCCCCTGGCCTCCAAGGACACATCCACACTGCAGGATTGGGATGACCAGACATGTGGCACCCCTAATGACCCATCCTCTCCCCCAAGAACAATGTGTTTTAGAGGAAATGGCAAGAAACTCCACAAACAAATGCCTGATCAAGAATTTTTTCCTAAGCCCAGCTCCCAGGGCTGACTTCAGCCTTGACCCTCCAGAATTTATGGTTCTTGCCAGACAAATAAGTCAGCCATGGCAAAACACAGGTCCCGTGTTCCCTGTGCCTGTAAATGTTTGTTTACCACAGCTTGTGGCTTCTGGGAAGAAAATAACATATGCCAGGAGAAATCCTGGGATTCAAACCAGCAAATGTGGTAGCAGCAGGGTATTTGTTTAGAAGATAAAGCAACATCTGATATGGTGGATGAGGCAAGTGTGAGACCTCAGGAAGACACACATGGAGTTGTTTGGGGGGAATTAATATTTAGTGCTGATGCTGAAGCTGCATCACCGCAGTGACCAAAAGTGCTGCAGAACAGCTCACAGGTGTTTGTTCCTCCTCATCCTCTCCAGGCTGGCTCTGCCCAGGACACCCCACCATGGATGAGGGCCAGCCCCTCCCAGGGAGCAGCAGTGGGGAATGGGATGGGTATAAATGAGGCAAAACCGGGGAGGGGACAAGCTAAAAGTAACATTTGAGGTCACCTAAGTGCCATCTCAATGCTTGTGGCTTTACCCACCTGGGGCCAGGCAACAGCAGCACCTCCAACCACCACAGAGGAATATTCCCAGTCCTGGTTCATGCCTGGGTGGACTCTGGGACTGGCCAAGCACAGGATAGGTTTTCCAGGCTCATTACCCAGCTCACTCAAGTGTGCTCGTGTGGTGCTCTTGTGCTGGGAGATTCACATGGGCTCAAAACTTACAAAAAAAAACCAGAAAAAAGCTAATACTAAACTAAATCTCCTGCTGGATGGACAGCAACAAGCACTTCTCATGATCTCCATGTGTGTTCTGGATGTAAATGCCATTTTCCTCAGCCTGGAATGCTTTGAAGAAACAAATAATCACTCTGTTGGGAGACTGATGATTAAAAAATGATAACATAGGGTTGGGCAGGGATTGCCTCCTCCTCCTCATCTTTCTCCTCCTCCTTTTCCTCCTCTTCTTCTTCCTCTTCCTCCTCCCTGCAGCAGGTTTGTGTGTGGGCAAGGAACACTGACCTGTTTGGGGTACAAGGACCAGAGATAATTTCAATGAAATTCCACCATCCAACCTCCACCATTGTGAGCTCTCTCATTCCAGCACAGCCAAAGTCTGCTGGTTTAAATAAATAAGTGTTTATTTAAACAAATCTGAATATTTATCTCATGTTTAAATGAATAAATGTGTAATTGTATGACAGCAGAGTCTCCAGCAAAATCAAGGACCCTGCATGGAACCCACAGGAAACCCACACCTCCAGGATCCCATCCTGCTCCAGAGACTGAGGAGAAAAGTCCTTCCTCATGGGCAGAACAGAGAAACACCCACCACAGTCACACTGACAGGCTGCACAGCCCTGAAAATCCCAAGGAATGACTGCAGCCAAGGTCAAGGAGCAGAAAGGAGGCGTTGGAAGGATCTGCCCCCAGCCAATGTTGTCTGATCACAGTTTTCTTCTCAGTACCTCTGTTTCCCCCTCTCTAAAATGGGACTAGTCCCAATTAAATGTATTTATGGGAGGTGTGTCAGCAAGAAAACATTAAACTGGAAGCACGAGCCTATCAGCCTCTGGGATTTCCCACATTCATCTTTATTTTTACCCTAATTAACTAATTAACATCTCAGACTTGCCTTTGGCTGCCTGCTCTGTTGCCATTGAAAATCTCCTTGTGTTCAGCTCCAGTGTTCAGCATCCTCCTGTTGCCATGGAAAAAAAGCCATGATGTCACCTCCACAACCACAGCTCCAAATACAGACCCCAAAGTTCACGTGTGGGGCTGGGGAGGGATCCCCACAGACTGAAGGACATGGGGCCACCACGTCCACACAGGAAACTGAATTAGATGGAAAAGTATCAGATTATAATATTTGATAATAACAGGATTTAGTTTTAAGGAAAAAAACAACCATGGTTGGTGTGAAGACAGCAGCAGTGAAGGGTCCAGCCCCACCTGGGATAAGATTTCTCAGCACAGAAAGAAATAACAGCTCAGTTGGAAGTTGTAGGTTGTTGGGAACAAATGGAGTGTCTCCATTAAAGGGGAGGGGGAATACTGAGTCAGGGAAATATCCTTGGTTTGGGAACTTGTGGCTGATGCCTGCAGGCTTGGCCATTTTACTGGTTCTGCTGCATGGAATAAAAACACAAATTCAGACTGTCCTTGAGAGCTGCTCTGTCAAACAAGGCTCAAGGAAGGGAATAGCAGCCCAGCAAGGAAATCCCACAGGCTCTTCCCACATTTCTTTAATTTCTACTTTCCCTTTTACTCCTCTTTATTGCAAGACCTTTAAAGAACAGGTTTGATACCAGGTCTAAGCTGGCTCCTGCCCTACAGCAGGAGACAGGACGGAAATTACTCTTGCAGCTCCTGTCACTTCTAGACCTCCATGACTCATTCTCCTACCTTGTTTTCACCTCCACCCCTGCTCCACAGACGGAGCTGCGGTTCCCTCACAAATGTCACAGTGTCTGCGTGATTCTCCCCCAGCCCTGGCTCCCAAAGGGACTCCATTCCATGGGAAACAGAAGCTGCAGCCTCACACCAGATGACACGGCAGGGCCTGACCCTCCGACTCAAACCAGACAGGGGGAACAGCCCCATCCCACCCCACATGGAGGGCCTGATCCACAGCCCCAAACCAGACATGGGGAACAGCCCCTGCCCACCCCATATGAAGGGCCTGACCCCCAGGGATGGCCACATCACACAGGGGACTGAGCCCCACATCATGTGAGACACAGGCTGACCCCCAGATCATAGTGGGGTCCTGATCTCAGCCCCACAGCATGCAGGGCACCAGGCCCCTGAACACAGTGCCCCTCAACATACAGGGGACCTGAGCACCCAGCCCCACACTGCACAGGGCTCACAGCCTCACAGGGCACACAGCCATACCCTACACAGGGCACACAGCCCTGCACTGCACAGGGCTCACAGCCCCACAGAGGGCACAGAGCTCACAGCCCCACACCCCACAAAGGGCTCACAACCCCACACTGCTCAAGGCTCACAGCCCCACAGTGCACACAGCCATACCCTACACAGGGCACATAGCACTGCACTGCACAGGGCTCACAGCCCCACAGGGCACAAAGCCCCACGCTGCACAGGGCTTACAGCCCCACAGAGATCACAGCCCCAATCTGCACAGGGCTCACAGCTCCACAGAGCGGGCTCACAGCCCCACACCCCACACAGCGCACACAGACCCACAGAGCTCACAGCTTCACCCCATACAGAGCTCGCAGCCCTACAAGGCTCACAGCTCCACAAAGCACAGGGCCCACAGCCTCACCCCACACAGGGCTCACTGCCCCACAGAGCTCACGGGGCTCACAGCCCCACAGGGCCACAGCCTCACCCCACAAAGCTCACAGCCCCACAGGGTCACAGCCTCACCCCACAAAGCTCACAGCCCCACAGGGTCACAGCCTCACCTCACAGGGCTCACAGCCCCACAGGGCTCACAGGGCTCACAGCCTCATCGCACAGAGCTCACAGCCCCACAGGGTCACAGCCCCACATTGCACACAGGGCTCACAGCCCCACAGAGCGCACAGCTCACAGGGTCACAGCCTCACCCCACCCCG